AGAAGGAGAAATGGAGAAAAAATGGAGAAGAAGACAAAAAAAAAAACACAGCGCGAGGTGTACCTATGACACAGGTGCGCCATAGCACACACACACACACACACACAGTGTTAGACACATGGGATGAAGTATACCCATGTGTGTGTGTGTGTGTGTGTGTCTCAGAGAGAGAATGCGGACAAGAGTGTGTGTGTATGTGTGCTATGGCGCACCTTTGTAATAGGTACACGGCGCGCCTATTTGTGTGTGTGTGTGTGTGCTTCGGCGTGCCCTGTAGCTATGGCATGCGTGTGTTCAAACATAAAAAAAAAGGGGAAAAAAACATAAAACGAAAAAAAAGGTATGTGTTCTTTATTTCTCTCTCTCTCTCTCTCTCTCTCTCTCTCTCTCTCTCTCTCTCTCTCTCTCTCTCTCTCTCTCTCTCTCTCTTTGTCTTTCTTTCTGCCTCTCTGCATCTCTCTCTATCTCTCTGCTTTTTTTTTTTTTCTCTCTCTCGCATTCTCTCTTCAAGTCTCTCTGTCTCTCTCTCTCATTCTCCCTGTATCCTGCCTATGGTCTCTCTCTCTCTCTCTCTCTCTCTCTCTCTCTCTCTCTCTCTCTCTTCTCTCGGTCTCTCTCTTGGTCTCTCTCTCGGTCTCTCTCCCTCGGTCTCTCTCTCTCTCTCTCTCTATCTATCTATCTATCTATCTATCTATCTATCTATCTCTCCCTCTGTTACTCACTCTCTTCACCATATAAAGAGTTCAGTAGGGAGGAGATTGCATGTTGGGCACGAGCAGCGCACTTACTGCACTTGAGTGTTTTTGCTTGCTCAATCTGATTCCACGAACGTGAGAGAGAGAAAAAGAGAGAGAGAGAAAGAGAGAGAGAGAGAGAGAGAGAGAGGGAAAGAGGGAGATAGAGAGCCAGAGAGAGAGAGAGAGAGAGAGAGAGGAAGAGAGAGAGGGAGAGAGAGAGAGAGAGAGAAAGACAGACAGCCAGACAAACAAACAGAGAGAGACAATCGCGTTCGGGCATTAGTGTGTGGGGATCGACATCGAGAAAGGAGGCGTTTTTGGTTTTGAGGAGGAGAGGAAGCGAGGGATCGACATGGCTTCTGCTGGTAAGTAGGTTAATTATTTCTTGCACATTCTTTTATTTATTTATTTATTTATTTATTTATTTATTTTATTTTTTTTCTTCTTCTTCTTCTTCTTCTTCTTCTTCTTCTTCTTCTTCTTCTTCTTTTTGTTCTTCATCGTCCACTTCTTGAGCGCCAGGTTATTCAGAGGCTATGATGATGATGGCGATGATGTGTGTGCAATCTGCATTGTGACATTAATGTGGGTTTGATTATTGTTATCTCAGTCTTCCGCTGTCCTATCTGGCTCTATTGATGAGAGGTCGGTTCACTGGCGGTGGAGGAGATGGGGAGGACAATGGACCACAGACATTGTTTATGAGTGTTGGAGCGTAGTGACGGTGTTTGGAAGGATCTCCAGCGAGTGGGGGCTCAACACGATAAGGTTTTCCTTCCGTTTTGCAGAATCCCACACCCCCTGTTCTTTGAAGTTCTTGCTCGACGATGCTCGTATCACCCCGCATATCTAACAGTCGCCCACAAACTTCAGATTGCCAATACCCGTCGGCCAGAAGTTTGCATGCGCTCTGATGAGATGGGCTACTGGTGGTTATTACCAACAGTGCTCCCAAAGTTTCGGTTTGGGCCTCGCAAGTGGTTTGCACAGCAACGAGAAAGCAGTCGACGCCATCATCCGGGAGTACGGTCATTTGCTACAGTTCCCTACAGGACAATCATGATGGTTGGAGGTCGTGCAAAACGACTTTGAGAGAAAAGGGTTCCCTGGGTGTGTAGGCGCGATAAATTGCACACATTTGTAAATTCACAAGCGAAAGGGAATGCGGTAATCGTGTTATTACCACCACACTGGGGGGTTCTCGGTTGTAGCGCAAGTCGTGTGTGACCATGCAGCAGAAAAATTCCCACGAGAAATGAAAGTTGAAAAAACATTCTAAAAAAAAAAAACTCTTCTTTTTTATAAATTATCATTCCAATGTTCGTCAAATTCTAAAATTTTCAGCTTTATTTGATAAATTTTCATCTAAATATGAGTTTTCCCTTTCAACTGCATCTATTTGTTCAAGATGGAATGAATGTCTGGACGAGTTTATGGAATGTTTTAATTAAAGTTTCATTCTTCTACAAAAAATATCTTCTAACTTAGATTGGATTAACCTATTTATGACTGAAAATCTTAACTTAAAATGGTATCCCAATTAAAATATTTCATGAACTCATTCAGACTTTCATTCCATCTCTAGCATGCTGTTCAAATAAGAAGGGATACCCCATTCTTGGAAGGAAAGTTTTCAAGTAAGAAGAAAAATTTTAAAATTAGAATGATATTTTTAAGGTTGGAATGAAAATTTGAAATTTAGAATGTATATTTACTATAGAATGATTGTTTAATTTTGTGAATTTTTTTTTGGATTGTGAGTGTTTTTGTGGGTTGTCCAGGGTCTGTAAATGATTTGAGAGTTGCACATCTCGCCATTGTTTGTAAATGCTACGGAGGGTAGAGGAGTGTTGGCTTATGACGATTACGTATCGCACAGCGGTAGACATGTTGATCGGTACTTGCTGGGTGATCAAAGGTACCCGCCTCTTCCATGGCGCATGACCCCTTTTGGTCAGTTTGCTCTGATGTAGGCTGATTAGGCATTCAATGAGAGTCACATTGCAGGGAGGTCGTGCATTGAGCGAATGTTCGGACGTCTAAAGGCGGTTTTGGAGGAACTTCATTCGAAGACACATTTGCAACCTGAAGACTATCTGCAAAGAATTCATGGTCATGTGCATTCTTCACAACCTCATGATTAAGCACAACGTGCACATCGACTCGACGTTAGTGGGAGATATCAATGACAGTGATCGAGATGACGACCATCGTTGGAACTGTCGACGACGGCGGCGCCAATGTCGATTTAACCGTCATCTTCTGGACTTGATCATTGAAGCTCCGATGGAGGATGACCCCACTTATGGGGGGGATCTCGCCAAACACGTCAGGGCCAGCCTGGTCGAGCACGTGCACCACCACGTGGCAGTCCACGGAGCTCCACCGCCATGCCAATCGCGATAGTGCTCTTCTTTTCTTTTTTGTTGTTTTTTGGGGCATACCCTTTGGGAAGGGCCGAAGTCTCGGAGAAGACATTACGGTAGATGATGGTCGATTGCAGGACAAGGGTGTGGACGGATAAGTTAATTGTCAGTATTGTCGGTCATTTGTAGATCCTGTTAACTTGAGCAGGGCATCTTCTTCGAATAACCGAACGGATAGTTGGGTTCAGACGGCGACTTGTGTCCGGTCCTAACATTTTCTTGTTCATCTATTTAAAACATTGAATTTGTGTTTTTTTTAATGCGTTGTCGGATAATGTATTTTGCCATAGTTTTTTTTCATTTGTTTATTGTTTTTCACTCAGCGAAGCACCTTGCGGCAATCTTGTAGATGTTTTCGACCACCCTAACTCCCAACCGAAACATGTTGATATATGCCTCAACAAAAAATTACAACAAATACAAGCAATCAATGTTGTGGAGTGTGAAATGAGGAGACATAATACATACATTTGACATACAAATTATTCAACAACAAATTCATTTCGAATAATAAACGACTGATGTATTTAAGTTATATTCAACATCTCACTGACCCTGTCTAAGTAACACATATATTTTCTCTAATAGATGACAGATTCGATGAAATCAGGTTTAATATCCAAACACATTACATGTCCATATATGACGCCGAATTGCACCATTCCATCCTCAATAACATCTCATCTGGAATTGGATAACACGTTAACAAAAAAAGAAAAAAAACAGACGCGATAGACCTAAAGAAAAAAAAAAAAAAAAAAAAAAAAAAAAAAAAAAAAAAAAAAAAAAACAAAAAAAAAAAAAAAAAAAAAAAAAAAAAAAAAAAAAAAAAAAGTGCGTCAATCCGAAACAAGCATAAAATAACTCCATAGAAACGGATGACTTGATTTCAACATGGATTGACTACAGAGTTTGACGATGCCACAAAAGGTTTCCATTGCAAAGCATGAATCACCTTCAAATGAACATTGATTATCTCCTCCATTGGAAGTACTCACTCCTCCTCCTCCTCCTCCTCCTCCTCCGCATCATCATCATCATCATCATCATCATCATCATCATCATCATCATCATCATCATCATCATCATTATCGTCGTCGTCGTCGTCGTCGTCGTCATCATCATCATCATCATCATCATCATCATCATCATCATCATCATCGTGGTCGTCATCGTCACCATGAAGATCAGAATGACCATCATCATCGTTGTCATCGTCGCTGCCATCTATCCACATGTCAACATCTGAAACACGACCGTCGTAGTCAACGTCATCACCATCTCATTGACGATAATGAAGGAAGAACTTTCTCTCTCTCTCTCTCTCTCTCTCTCTCTCTCTCTCTCTCTCTCTCTCTCTCTCTCTCTCTCTCTCTCTCTCTCTCTCTCTCCAACAAACAGAAGCGTGAAGAAAGTCATGCAAACCCAAACCACATGCATGATGGGCATTCATGGCGCCTCCTATGTACACGACGTTTATCTTCTGTCGGCACAGGAATTGCCTAGTATTCAAGACCTCGTTTCCCCGTGCAAATATGGCCTACCCAGCAATGGTGGATCAAGAATGCACCTCCAAAATAGGATCGTATCTAGGCGATCTGCGTACATGTCATAAGGGTGGAGACATAAAGAAGCACTATCTCCCGTAATACATCCACGGTATGGCTGCCCCACGGATTGGGGATGATATCCCCAACCTTCGTCGAAGATCAGCACATGGTCGAGATCATTCCCGTCGATTTTCCGAAGAACCCCAAGCCGATCTCCATCTTCATAGCGGGGGCCCCGTCCACATCAACTTCGTAGAAGCGGATGGACTGACGTTACACGCCATCCGCGAATTCGAACTCCCTCGTTTGCCACGTGTGGTAACCGTCCCGCTGGTGGCGCATCTCGTACATCACGACGCCCCTGTCGACGATGAGACCACGACAGAACGCACACACATCCATCCTTTTATTTGCCCCTCCCTCCCCTCTCTCTCTCTCTCTCTCTCTCTTACCAGATGCCTCCCCCTCTCCCTTTCACCGAATGGAGCCGCCCGATTTGTCGGTCAGTATGTGGCGAACCGCACACCCCTACACACCCAACTCCGCAAAAAAACAGCAACCGCAGCAAACAAACAAAACATCGGCATACTACTCTCTCTCGTGACTCAACTACGATCACAACCGATGCGAACCTCTTCTTTATACGCTATCAGCAGTGAGCAGTCAGGTCGTTCCACTAGGTCCATCAACGTTCACACATGAACGTCGAAACTTTTTCATTCATTTTCGTTTTTTTTCCGTTTCCTGCGTTGCCACTTGTACGCACCCTCGTGCGAATACGGATTCGTACTCTTGTACTTGTACGCTAGGGGCCCCGTACGAGTTTTTTTTTTTTTCTTAATCCGGTATTGTTTTTATTTGTTTCTCAAATTCTAATAAGAATTTGAAGATGGTGTTCAGCCAAATGTTGCGTGTTTTGTGTTGTTGCATCACATATTTGTTTTCCGGATTTTTTGATGACTTTGTTTTTTTTTTTTGCTTTTTTGTACGGGGGCGTACAAGACGTACAGGTTCCCGTACAGATCCCATACAAATACTACATGTACGTTTCATACGGAAAGGCCCCGTACATGTACGTTATGCAACGTAGTTTGTTTCTGCATAATTCGTTTTATTTTTATTTTCAGAAATCATGTCCGGAGTCGAGAATTTGTCCACATGTCACCGTCGGTGGCAGTCGACCGTCGGGAGCCCCATGCATATATAAAAATGTATATACATATACAAGGGACGTGGCCGAAGCAATTCAGCCACATTCCCTATATATGTATGTACATATATATTCATGGGGCTCCTGATGGTCGAATGCCACTGACGGGCACATTTGCACGGCCGTTCATTTTCCACATGAGGATATATATCACCGCGGCAAAGGGTCCATGTACCGATCAGCTTCGGCGCCTTTACCTCGGTTCGCCCCCCTTCGGGCAGGAACCTCCACTAGCAACTCTAGAACACTGTTGTACCCCCGCATTGTTTCGGCCACGTCCCCTATCTGAGCAGCGATTGCATTGCCTGCGTCTGTGGTAGCTTTGCCAAGGGTGGTGGACGCTTTGTCATGGCCATCGCAGTAAGATTGAGTTGAACCATCCATGGCCCTCCCCAAACTCGTGATGCTGCTGCCGGTATCTTCCTTTCTCAACTTCCCGCTAGCTGTCCGCCTCGCTTTAGCAGAGTTGTCTCACTCCTCCGCGTATCTTTCGTCCGATCTTCCTGCCGACGGTGCATCTGTTCCACCGCCCGTAAGGTTCTCCGAAGCCAGCGTATTGTCACACTTCATTGACGGTGGATTTAGCTGCCACTGCATAGCGTCCCACAACGCCTTTTGAAAAGAAAGCAAGAGATTCTTCTCCTTTTGTTCCTCCACATATAGATCCCAATAGGATGGTTGTCGAGACCCTTCACACTTTTTGACGATGAGCTTGGCCGTCTATAGCATGGTCGACCGCTTCTTGTGGCAGTCTTCATCGGTCCTTTGTTTGAAGCCAGCGTCTTTCATCCTATCATTCACCCATGCATACCTCTCTTTCCTCTGCTTGAATCGGTATTGGTCATTAGCATCCGCCATAAGGTCGTCGTCCTCACCCATCAAAAACGCAAGCTTCACTCTCTCGGGTGGGCATTCGCAGGTCATCCGCTCCCCGCTTGACCTGCTGCACGCCGGCCCTGCACATCACCCTGACCGCCCATCGAGGTTGCAACCATGGGAACAACACCTCTGTGCTCTGCCTGACTGTCTTCGTCGGTTGCTTCTGAGTCGCCCATGCCTTCACTGTACTGTGAATCCACGCGAGTCTCGGGGGACACCGGCCATGTGGTCGGTCAATTCCAAGGGGCATCCATGTCAACGCCAACCAGTGGAGATGGCGAACGCCGCGCGCCGAACGACCGCCCCAAGCTCTGGCTGCATTGGGGAGACCAAGGCCTGCATCCCATGGGCATGGTCTGTGTGAGCGGTGACGGCATGCCGAAACCTGCACCCATGCTCGTGCCTTCTACGTATGCCCTCGCTGCATAGAAACTGAACTGCTGCTGGACGGACAGAGGATGATCACGAACGGCGAAACCACCGTCCGCCCACATGTCCCCTGCTGGTGGACCACCACGCACAACGCCCGTGTGCATGCTCTCGGGAGACTGCCCAACACACCCTCCACCGAAGAGCGTCGGTGGAGAAGCACCACGTGTTGGGTAGTGCGGATGTTGCATGGCCGACGGGAACTGACGCGTGGGGGCGAATGATTGCATGCTTGGCACCGGGTGTCCGTGAGAATGGGGCCGTGCATGTCATTACGGTCGTGGAAACCGACGTCGACATCATCCGTCCAACATGTGGACTCCATCGCCCACCTGCCAGCTTCAACCAGGGGCAAACAGTAATGAAAGGCGGCACCTTTCGCCACACCCGTGACGGGGCCGACTACCAGCGCCTGGACAGAAGGACGACGGCAACGAACAAAATGACTGTGGACAACACCAACACCCCTACTACAAAGATGAGGAGGAGAACGACTGCTGTGCCCACAACGAACAGTGAAAAAACACCAGCACGCCCAATGCAGTGCCCGTTCACCACAACGACAACGACATGACAATCCGTGATAATACACCACCCACACCCCCCAAAAGCCGAATGTGCAGATGGAGTTGTGCCCTGTCCGATCGCCATGTGCCCTGTATTGACGGGCCGCCGCTCGGCAGCACGAGTGCGAAGCTCCACTAGTGAATTCCACAACGGAGGACCTCCACTGCTGACAGGAGATCGTGGGGAGTGGACGACGAAGGATGGTGAAGTGGGTGTGCGTGGGACCACCCTCGGAGCAAACGACGGGATAGTCGAAGAAACCACCAGGTCAGCACACCCACTTCCACGAAAAGAAGCTTGCGCAGGTGCACGTCCCGAGCTGAACACAGGAGACTACAGTAGCGTTCGAACCGCAGCGGAGGCATCCGAATGTGTCCAACGACAACTCCACAGACCACGACCGTGTGATGTGGAAGCACGTTGGACTGAAGCCGCATGGGCGAAACGGGCAGTGTTCTGGTGCAATCGCATGGCAGATCGACCTTTGAGTCGACGTTCCTACGAGGAAGACAACCACGGATCAGCAACGGTGCGACAAAAAGTGTGGACACCTGAATGACAAACAGCGCAATATACTGTCTGCCTTCTCTCCGCCTCAAGTACTTGTTGCCGCCTTCGAAAACTCCGTTAATGGACCACCATAATTCGAATTGCATGTTCCCGTGTTTCGCAATGCAGCGGCAGCACAGCGGGGGACCACCTCAGGGGACCACCAACGGCCAGTTTCAGCTAGTTGTGTGACACGCACTTCTTTTGTGCCTTTTCGGCCTGGACCAAATGTATGTCCGGGACGCCCGTTTACTGTACCACACCTCGCCAGCGTCCGATGCCAACAGTTGGCAGTTTGCACTTTCTACCCTACTGGAGGACGTTTTGGAAAAGGACTGCTAGTTTCTGGCGGAGACTTTCCAGCCGCCAGCAATGTAGAAACACGGCCAACAGTGTTTCCAGAATGTCAGTGGGGTCTGAAAACGACATTTGCATAACCCCCAAGAAATTCCTGGCGGCCCATTGGGGTCCGAAATCGCCCTTCCACGACAAAACTTTTCCAGCTGCCGGCCAGTTGGGTCCAAGTCTGGGGGAAGCTTTCCAGGCGGCAAGCTTATGCCAAACCCATATCTTAGGCCCGGGCGATGGGAAACAGAAAAGTGGACCCCACTGCAGCACAATTTTTTGGCAGGTCCGTCATTGCTGGTTACCCTATAGGGAAAAATTCCCCTATAAAGAAACTTTACATCCGCTTGTCTTGGTGCTTGTCCAATCCCTGGCTCTCCGTTTCATATGTTATGCCCAAGCCGAGGGGTGTGCCGCCCCCCTACCCCCTCCGGATGACGGAACAACAAGGAAGAGGCAAAACCAAACTGAGTGGAAACGCTTGCCATGTCATTTGTCAGCTTTTTCGGAAGCTTTGCCGCAAAGCAGTGGGGTCTCACAAATCGTCTTCCAAAGCTTTGCCACCAATGGGACCCCACTGGCCGGCGGCGTGGAAAAGTTTTGGCGAGGAAGTGTTTTTCAGACCCCACAGGTGTTGGAAACCGTCGTGGAAAGTCGGCCCGGAAAGGAATTTCAGACCCCACTGCGGTTGGAAAGAGGTCGTTGAAAAGCTGACGGGGCGTTTATACTCGGCTTGCGGTCTGGAAATGCAATGCCTACGAGTTTCCAGACCGTTTCCAAGGACGCCTCCAGACGAGTAGGGGGGGGGGGCATGTCAAACAGTTTCTAGAATCGGGCTGGACGTCCCTCCAGACGAGTAGGGGGGGGGGGCATGTCAAACAGTTTGTAGAATCGGGCTGGACGTCGTGGCATTTTGTCTACACTTCATTGGCTGCGCAAGCAGGCCATGGACCACAGCCCCTGCCGGACTTGCCTTTTTCGGAAACACCCCAGGGCGATTTCCTATTCGGGTATGCCCTGCTTTTTCAACTGCCGAAACTATCGGGCTGTGGCGGGGTCCCAACGAAATGGGGAAGATTGTTTCATGGTCGGCCGTTTTTTATGGCCAACACCAGTTTCCAGCCGCCGGCCAGTGGGGTCCAAGCCCAAGTCTGTGATGGCCCCCCCCAATATTTTTGCTGTGGAACTTACTTCCCCCGCTTTTGTTTTTGTTTTTGTTTTTTCTTTTTGCCGGGACGTAGGTCTCAGAGCATCTCCACAGATTCCCCAAGACAAAAAAGAGCATCTCCAGATTCTTGGGAGCATCTTTTTTTTTTTTTTTTTTAATGGGAAACTCGGGAGCATCTCCATATTCGGGGGAGCAACTCCAGATTCTCCACTCATAAATCAATGAGTGTTCTTCTCCTCTACGCTCTGGACATGATTAGGGTAAGATCCATCCGTTTCTGGCGGTAGCGGTAACTCCAGCCATTTACAGTCTGGAAAGTACCAGTGTCTTCAGGAAACGACAAAAGAGGAACACGAGTACCGACGGTGATGAACTGTGGAAATCGGGCGTCGCCAGACCACTCCGAAATGTGCAAGATCAGAATAACCTTACCGCTAGAACACGGCCGGATGCACCGGCCACATTTTTGTGGTCTTCACATTTCGAGAGTCGTGTGGCGAGGCCCATGCAGAAAAGGACATCGCATAACATTGGGGAACTATATTTAGGGCCTCGCCACACGGCTCTTGAAAAGTGAAAAAGACAAAAATGTGGCGGGACCCAAGAGTGGGGACCACACCTATGAACTGTTGAAATACAGACCTGTGCTCGAATCCACATGATGGAACTTGACGAGTAAAACCAACTACTAATCAATTGCTTGGGGCCGGTCAGCTCAATGATAATATCTCAAGGCCGTCGCCCTTTTTTTTGTTTTGTTTTTTTTTAAATAAAAAAGATGTGGCGGGCGCGTTTGGCCATGTTCTAGGGCGAAGTTCATTCTCATTTTGCACATTTCGAGAGTGGTGTGGCTATGCCCTTATAGTTTTCAAAGGGTCTCGCCGCACGGCACACGAAACGAAAATGAAACGCGTGCATCTGCCCACCAAAGGTGGCAAAATACACTCGTTACTATTTATAGCAAACCGACGAACCTGACCATTGCCTGGCGGAAGATACATTCGTTTCGTGTGCCGTGCGGCAACGGCCGAAGACTGTCCAAGGTTTTCAAACAAAAAAAAAAAGGAAAAAAGAAGAGGAACACGAACCTTCACAACATCTTTCTCCCTTTTGCATATAAATGAGCTGAGTCTTCTTTAAAAAAAAAAAAAAAAAAAATCTTCACAACACACAAAAAAAAAAGCTCATAGGGGGAGGGGACCGGAGGGGAGGCACAGTGACTGGCCCATCGGAGAAGCTCGGTCCTGATGCTACCGGCTGACCCCTGGCCGGTATCGCCCACCTGCTGGTGGGTGCAGCTCCCGCATGTTCCCTCGTTGGAGGCTTGAGCACGGATGTGGCTGCTACGGGGTTCCCCGTAATACTATAATGACAATACAAAAGGCCTGAAAGGCCGTCCTGTCCAGATTTGACAGGTAATTGAATTGGTTGGGCTTAAAGAGTTAGCCTTAAAAAAAAAAAAAAAAAAAAAAAAAAAAAAGCTCGAAGGATAGAGGTGTAAGTAGGATAGGTGG